GTATATATATAAATATATATATGTTTACATGTATATCTATATATGTATATACATATATATAGGTTGGCTGTAGGAGACCCGGGAAACAGAATGAGAACGTGAGGTGCGGTGGGTGTGGGCTTGATGCACCTGTCCTCTGTTGTTGTTATTCAATGGTTGGTTTGTTGTGGATGGGATGGGACTGAAGTGGCTGAGCTGATACGGACGAGTCTCTGCCATTGAGCGATTACGCATGTTCCGTTTCAGTCGAGACGAGCCAATTGGACCGGTTTGCACCAGATATGAGTCATAACAGTAAGGATAACGAATAACAAGGAACTGGGTAAGCTACGAAGGGCTGCTCAGACGCATTCTACAGTGGCAATCTACGCTGACACGCCACTTACAGAGACGCATGTCTACGTTACTACCTTACACTATATAGGTGATATAGTTCCCTACATTTGTATTTGCCCATGTGTAGTTCTGATAGAAACACGCACACGCCTATGACGTACATATCTGGAAAAGTACACACCAAACAACACACACGCACACCAAACAACACACACACGCACACCAAACAACACACACACGCACACCAAACAACACACACACACACGAAGCAACACACAACACAACACAACACACACACACCAAACAACACACAACACACAACACAGCACACAACACACACACCTTCGTAGACCATGTCGTTGTCTATAGAGCCAACCAGCCCCACGAGATTGAGATGGCTGCATGCATCTGCTGCCTCTTGAGTGATCTCTCCATTGGCCAGAAGCTCTTCAACGAGCGACGACCACTCCAGGCGGAATAGATTGGCTCCAGTCAGACTGTGGGTAGGTAAGTAGTGGACGGAGTGAGTTCTATTTTTAGACCAGCGGACTTCATACACAGAGAAGTATGGGTAGGTAGGTGGATCGGTAGGGTTTATGTGGTTTAACAACTTCGTACAGAGTGAACTGTAGGTAGGTACGTTGGTACGAAGTGAGTCATAAGGAAATATGAAACCTCGCAGAGTGACCGCTACGTTCGGAAATTTTCTCATGCACAAACGAACAAACGTGTCAACACATGCCTAAACATACACACACACAACACACACACAGAGAAGTACATACAATATCAGATCCACCAACATACACGCAGAAATACCAAAACCACTTATACCACACACCTTCCATCCCCTCCACAACACACTAGGTTAGTAATGCGCTTCTTTATCAGATTCTTACACGCCACCATACGCCACTTGCGCTCTCGGAACTGCAGACACCGAGCCGAGCCTATGATGGTGCCACCTCTGTGCATGATCAGCCCCACATCGTCCCACTGCAGCTTACGGATGTTCTCTGACCCGTCCACTAGGCCCTGGTAGCCTTCGTACACAGCGTAAACGTCCCGTCTGTGGTGCATCGCAATGCGTGCTACTGAGTAGATGACGGCATTCATACCTGCGAGAGCCCGGGGGGGGGGGTAGGTAGGTGGTGACAGAGGGGGGGGGATTAGTGTGCTCATAGGGGGTAGCTAGGGTGTGCTGGTGTGTGGGGTTTACATATGTACGCGGCAGCACATCACTCCCACTGAGCGGAGACCAGATGGCGAAGAAGGCTCATTGACAGCTACACGTGTGTGTGTAAGTACAACCCATGGGCACCATGTACAACTAACAAGTGGATGTATTAAAGAGACAGGGATAGCAGGACAGGATATGGCATGACCAGATAAGAGAACAGGAACAATCCAACCACGCAAGACGGCAAGGGAGGGGCATGCATTGATATGTAAATTAACACAGGGCAGACAGCACACTCGATACGAGACCTAAAAATTTATAATAGAACCATACGCAGACACAGATATAGACCCAGACCCAGACCAAGAAAAATGTATATATATATAGATAGATTAATAGACAGTTAGACAGAGGCAAAATACATATGTATGTATATATATATATATATATACATATAATAATAATAATAATAA